GAACATTTGCTTTCTGGTGCTAAGAATTTGGAATCACAGAAAATTCAGATTGACTGGCCCTTGGAAGAGAAGAATGTCTAATGCAACACTGGAAAAGGGACTATGAGTATGGGTAGAAACATCTGTTACTTGAGCTACTACGACTTTATTTTTCTTTTAACATGGTAATATGAAGCACCAAAGAGAAATGACACCTGGCACAGAATTTCATTGTCAGCAAAACCTTTAGCGACTTGCAAATGCACTTAAAAACTGGGAATGCAGAAAACAAATCTAACAGATTTTCTAGAGTGAAAGCACTGAGTGGAAAACAGATCAAGATACAGATATCATTATTTTATTTTCCTCTTTTTCCCCTTTAAAAAGAAAATGTCCTTCTCCTTTCATACTCCAAATGCAAAATTTAAGATATTCTGAAAATCAAAACAATTTTGATTAATTTTTTTATGGAAGTGGAGTAGGCAAACATCAAGTGACAGCTGGCACCTGATATTTTGTAGAAAATACCAATACTATCAGTTTCCTGTATTATTACTGACCAGATGGTTATTTAGGGGCCTTTTGACCTCAATTTCTTTCAAACTGGGATAGTAGAATTGAACAGAATAGAAGAGCAATAATTTTTAAAGAACTGCAATGCAAAACCAGTGAATTATTTTCTTCCAGACTGCATCAACTTCAATACAAACAAAAGGCAAATTGTCAGGCAGGAAATGGGACCATTTTAGCTGCTCATTCCAACTTTTACTTCACATTTTTTATTTCCCTAGGTAGAATATACCAACTATATAAATCATCACCAAAATTTGCTAGAAATTACCCCAGAGAGTATCCATTCTATATAGAGAAATAAAAGATTTATCTTGATATTATTTTGAAACCACATGTAAATGTGTCATTAAAATGCAACTTTTAAAGGTGTGTTTCAAATCACCTCCATGCAATAGACATTCTAATAAGAGAATGTGAGTCACTATGTTTTCTTATTTAACAAAAGCAGAGTGGAGGTTATAATCTTTCTAAAACTACCTTTTCAGAGACAATCAAAGCCTGGTGCTTTTAAAAAAGGAGAAAAAATTGCTCAAAACAGATTGAAATTAAGCTAGATGGTAAAGTCTGCCTGGATATCTTTTCTTTTTTAAGCAAGAAAGGAAAAAATTGGTCCTGAACGCACATTGCCACAATTACAAATTAATTACAAATAGAATTACAAATATGAACACCTACCCAGCTACAGGTCTACTAAGACCATAGAAGTTGATCTCATGATATTTCACCCTTTCTTTTGTAGAATTCCAGACATCACTGTATCCCATTTAGCCTTATCCCAGTCTTTTCAGTTTTGTCTGCTGTAGTATTTTGCTGTTAGTTCTGTCAGTTCAGCACAGACAGCCTGCCAGATTCCAGCTCCCTGAGAATGTTACTCTGCCTGATCACATTCCTAAACAAAGTGATGTTCTGACCACACTTTTTCTAAAGAAGGCCATAACTGTCATTTGTGTTTCATTCTGAAAGAGGAGTGCCTGAAACGATTTTAATGGTTTTTTACATCATAGCATGGTTTGGGTGAGAAGGGACCTTAAAACGCAGGTAGTTCCAAGCCCTCTGTCATGGGCAGGGACACTTTCCAATAGTCCAGGTTGCTCAGGGTCCCATCCAACCTGGCCTTGAACACTTCCAGGCTTGGGGCATCCACAGCTTCTCTGGGTAACCTGTTCCCAGTGCCTCTCCAGCCTCATAGTCAAGAATTTCTTCCTCACACTTAACCTAAACCTTCCCTCATTCAGCCATTCTCTCTTTCCCTATCACTGCATGCCCTTGTAAAAAGTCCCTCTCAAGCTTTTTTGTTTAGTGAAAAGAATGTACAGATGTACAGAAATGAAAGTTTGATGGATGAAGGCATCAGTTCTGTGCTACCTGGGCTCTGCAGGAATCAGGGATGCAGCACGTGCTCTGAGGTACCTTTACGGGCCACACACATCCATGCTTTCTGTTTGAAAGCATCAGTGCACAAGACTATCCAAAGACCATGAATAATTGTATGGCACCCCTCTCCCACCACCCACCAGATGAGCAGGAATAGACGGATGTGGGAAAATTCACCCTGCTACTGAACCAGCAAGGGAAACAGCTAAGGAAAGGGTAACACACAGTGCCCACGCCTATGGAACAATTTGTTGCAGGAATGGGTGCACTGCAGCAGGAATGGCAAACACACACTCACTGAAACAATCTGGGGCTGCTACTCAGCATTATGGTGGCTCCATTCTCTACACTGTTAGTGAGGAAAGGAGCCCTCCACTTGACATGTCATAAACAAGGGGACACAATATGAGCAAATAAACCCCTGGGTGGCTTATAATTAGGGGCCCCTCTGAATGTTGTCAATATTGCAAAAAAACTATTGAAAGAAGACATAGAATTAGTGGAGGACATGAAATCACAGGGAGGTATGGATAAAACATGGGAAACTTGTATAACAACTAATGAAACCAGCCTCCA